AGGCTGCACCTGTCTGTGTGTGTGTGTGTGTGTGTGTGTGTGTGTGTGTGTGTGTGTGTGTGTGTATGGGATATAAGTTATAACATCTTTAGAAAAGAAGATAACTTATCCAAATAATAGAGGAGAAGAGAAATAAAATATCCCTTCCCATATTACATTTATGTCTCTTTTTTATGTCTTGTCAAAATACTGTTTGATTTGCAGCTTGTCAGATTCAGAATCCCTGTAAATTCTATTTGATGTCTATTGGACCAATGAGAATTGTGCACCGCCTGCTCTCTACATAAAAGCCCACGATGCACTGAGTGAAGCTGAAGTGCCTGTGCTCAACTGTGCATGGCTGAATTAATCGAGATTCTGTTTTGCAAGTCAGGGCACGTTTGGTTCTGTTGGTTTGAGATGGTTGAAGAACCTTGTTACAGTCAGAACCCAAATTTGATTTGTAAAGAAATCTGTTTGATAGAATTCTTCATTAGTCCCTGTATTGTAAGTGTCTTAAGTAATTGCCCACTCCAGCACTTTAGATCAACTGATGGGTATTATTACATAGCAATGATTTAGTCTAATTTTCTCTCGACTTACAGAAAGTGCATCCTCAGTGATAGCTATAGGTTTAGCATCAGACATACAATATTCTACCATGTGAGCACCAATAATAGTAAATTTTAGTACAAAATACAGATAGTCTCCATGGCTGGTGGCTATTCTTGTATTGATCTTTATTTCCTGCCCAGACTGAATGGAGCACATATGTATATCATGAGGGATAAATGACATCTGTATGGTCTGTAATCGTGGCAGTGACCTTGCTTTGTGATTAGCCTACAAGGGCAAGAGCACAGCTTACGGTTCTCAACATAAATCACCTGCGCAAAGCCTCTGTGCCTGGAGTTCAATCAATGTATATCTGCACAAATGATAACTTTCTGGACAGGTTGATTCCTTTCTGGGAAAGCAATCTAAGGGTTGATTCCAGTTCTTAGTGTTCAAGGCAAGAAAATAGGTCTCGGTCTTCATATTTTGTATAAGATTATGTATGAACGTGAGGTACTGGTATGCCAGAAGCAACCTTAACACACAGAGCTATTGTACAGGTGTGCATATCCTTAACTGCACATGTATAATTTTGTCGCCTATAGAGTAAGAGCTAGAGAGGATAATACACGTATTCAGTCATTGCAGCTAGTGCCAACAGACAGTCAGATATTCTTTCCATGTCATTGACCGCTGATTGAATTTGAAGCACCAAACATCAGAACGGAAACTGCTGTTAGAAGCATGAAAAGAAATCCTTTGGATTTCCTTTGTCCCTGGTGGTAGGAATAACACTAAATCCACCAAAGGCACCAGTAACCAAGGCAATAAAAGACAGAGACCAGTAACTCTATATTTTGAAAAATGATGTTTTGGGGCCATTGAGTCCCCATGGGAACTGAGACCTTGTGAGGTCAGCAGCATTTTGATCAAATATTGATATAATGTCTGGGATCATATTGCAGTTACAATATTGATTCAAAAGTCCATTTTAGACCACCTGGTCTGGAGACGGTCCAGGTCCCATGCCATGTCAATATGTACTCATGCACAGTTTACTTACCTGGCATATGATTAAAACACTGGGTCCTTGTTTCTGCTAGCTGCTAAGGCACGGCTGGTGTTGACAGAATTAGTATAATGGATAGTGTTATACAGTACATGTACTTCATGCCAAAGTTGTATTTCATATATTGAATAAAGTCTTGATTCTGTATTTTGCTAATTCTGAGTGTATACTCTAAAATGTCTGGTCAAAAATGGTTGGACCCAGAAAAAGTGTGTTTAGGTCAATCATAAATTCCATTTTGTTAACCCCACCTGATAGAAAAGCATTTGAGCATGGTAGCTGTCATTACTGACAGGATTAGTTGGGGAAAGTGTTGGCATCTGAGTGATTATATATTCATCTTCCAGATTCTTAAAACTAAATTTGTGTTGTTTTTTCCAGGCTGTGATGAAGTTTCCACAAGACTACCCCTACTCACCCCCTACCTTCCGCTTCACAACCAAGATGTGGCACCCTAACATATATGAGGTAAGTCTGCAAGGGTTACATGAGTTTAGAATTTTAAACATTTCCTGGGAGGACATGTACAATCTAAACACTCTAGCACATCCTCAGTGCTCAACATTTCACTTCATCAAATAGGATTGAAGTGACAGAAAAAATTTAAAGCTGGGAAAACATACTGTTGTTGAAATTATCTGTGTGCGGGCTGGCTGGCTGTTTGATGTGATTTGACTGACAGGGTTGACTGTGTTGTACAGAATGGAGATGTGTGCATCTCGATCCTCCACCCTCCCGTGGATGACCCCCAGAGCGGAGAGCTGCCGTCAGAGCGGTGGAACCCTACACAGAACGTCAGGTACCTGTCAAGTACACATGTGCATCCCCTCTTGCTTCCTTTGAATGGCTGCAAGCGTGTGTGCAAAATTACTGATTTTGACTTGCAACTTGAAAGACAAAATATAGAAGGTAGAAATATGCTGAGGGCTATGTGTCAAAAAAGAAGCTCTCAGTCATACAGAAAAGGAAAGCAAGTAGTAGTGGTATCTTTTTATCGTCAGGCACCTGTCAAGTACAAATGTGCATCTTGTCTTGCTTCCTTTGAATGGCTGAAAGCGTGTGTGTAAAATTTATATCTGATGTTGAGTTGTAACTTGAAAGACAAAATTTATAACATGTACAAATATGCTGAGGGCAAAGTGCCAAAAAGTTAGCTGTTATGTTAGACGTTCCCAGTCATACAGAATGAAAATAGCAAGAAGTGGTATGTTCTTATTTTTTTCAGAACGATTTTAATGAGTGTAATATCGCTGCTGAACGAGCCCAACACATACTCGCCAGCTAACGTGGATGCATCGGTCATGTTCCGCAAGTGGAGGGAAAGTTCCGGCAAAGACAAGGAGTATGAAAACATTATCAGGTACTGCTGACTGTGTTATTTGTCAAAATCTTTTGAACATTGTATTTGTCGTATCATGACACCTCTAAACCACATACTATTTAGAAAGTAGTGAGTAATTATAGGCCTGTTACAATCATTTACTATGTAGAAAATAGTGACCACATCTGAGAAGCATGAGAACATTGTTGTCCGACAGTAACCTGCCTAATCCTGAAATAACCACCACCTGTCAACGGACTGTTTTTGGAAGGCCCCTTGGTGGGTTGTTATTAAAAGGCTTGGTTCCTTCACATGCCCTTAAGCTACATATGCAGCTGCTAATGGATGTACTTATCTACATGGTTATCAAGTAATTACAGTAATTAGAACTAATGATTATGAATAAATAATAACTTCCAAACAGACTCGAGGAATCCTTCTCATTAGACATGTAATCTTAGTTATTCTGTAAGCAGTTCCTTGTTTTGATGGTACTGTAATGTTGCTGTTGCTGGAATATAGAAAGAAAAGAATCAACACATTGTTGCAATGTAGCAATCCTCTCCTCCTCTCTACCCCCTCCAGGAAACAAACCAATGCCACGAAAGAAGATGCGGAAAAGGACGGAGTGAAGGTCCCCACGACACTGGCAGACTACTGCATCAAAACCAAGCCCAAGACTTCCCACTCCTCTATGGACATGCTGATTCTATGACGATGATTACGATGATGGGGACATGGACGATGAGGATGATGACGATGATTTCTATGAGGACGATGATGATGATTCAGGGAACGGTGGAGAAGGGTCGTGATATGCAACTGTCATCACCACCCCCACCCCCCATCCCTGTAGGAAATCTGCACCCAGGACTCACTATAAGCCCATCCCACTGGAATCATCTTCTGCAAGGAACCTTGCTCATCATGTCCAACACACCTTGACAGGAATTTCCCACAGAATAATGGCCTTCAGGGGAAACTGATAGACTGTATGCTCACATGATAATTTATAGTGTTTACTACAATTTTTGATATAATTACTTTAGCTCATATCCAGGCTTAATTGGAAAATGTTTAAATCAATAAGTCATCCAGAAATGAAATGTCATGAAATGGGGGGGACAAATTTGGTTTACGACCTTTTGGTCAGTGATGTCAATGGTTTGAATGGGGTTTATGACATGTAGTGGAAACTTGTAGAAATTTTAAGGGAAAACTAATGTCAATCACAGTTTTCTTTTTAATGGTTGTGTACAGATAAACTTGAAAGCAATTTCCCAGTTGGGAAGTTCTGTCTTTGTCTTGACATTTCTTCCGACGTGTCATCCAGAATAATGTACAGATGTACAGCATGTGTTCTTGGCCGGACACTTTTGCCACCTCCGTCAAAGGTTTCCCTCCTTCAAAGCCTCAAGAGTCTTCACAGTACAGTAATAAAAGTGGAAACTGAGCTTTGAAGAAAAAAGGGACAGCCCTTGGGAGATGGATTGACACAAGTGTCACTTTTAAATGAAGTGTGTTCTGGATATACTTAATTGTAGGTTTTTTGTGCACTTTGTTAAACTAACCCGTTGGAGAGAAAGTGAGAGGTGACGAGGGCATGTTACTACTTACCTGGTGTGTTATGGCCATTGTATAAGTGTGCAGCCATTGGGGGAGGGCCATCCACGTGTAGCTGGTTTACTTTCAAAGGCACTATCTTGCGCAAGGGGTTTGGACCAAACCAAAACCAATCAAACATGCATAATAGGGCTCTGACTGTAAATTGGGAGTTTTAAATTGTACACATTTCCTTGCATGTCTGTACAGGGAAGGAATGATTTTATATTTGAACACAAGTACTTGATGCATAATGAAGTTGGTTTAGCCTCATGAATCTCAGTGTGGAAAAAAAAAACACCATCCCCACGTATTGCTTGGACTGCATGTAAGAGAGGAGTCCAACAGTGTCTCAAATAATAGTCAAAGTTACATTCTTGACATAAGATTTGTGCAAAGGTGACTGGAATGCTTTGTATTCTAATTATTACATGAGCATTTTTCTTAGAAGATCATAGCAACCTTTTCAGTCGTATTTGTAGCAACTGCTTACTAAAACTCAAGTGATTTCACCAGATTGTAACATGGAGAAGAATAAAGGCAAGTGATGACCATGCCAACTGCCAGCAAAATAGGACAAGCTTCAGAAGTTAATGTTCTATGTTTTGATAATACGGTTACTGCAGGGGTGGAGATTCCATGTGAAGTGAGTTGTCCCGTAGTCCTAGCTGTAATGTGCAAGAAGGTGCTTTTGTGTGTTGATCATGGACCTAAAGGTTGCAAGAAGAGATGCATTGGAAAAAAAAACTGCACTGAAGTTGTCATTGATACTGCTGGAGTTGCATGGTCAGCAAGTATAGCAATGCAGGACAGCATTTCTGCACTGAGGAAGCAAGTTCTGATTTTGGCGTGATATGGATTGAACTCTAGTGTAATCGAGGCAGTTGGGTGCATGCAAAAAGAGCTGTACATTGCCTGAGCATTTGGCAGAGGCAAACGAGTAGTCATATGCCATTTCCATTCCTTCACATTGTTTTGTTTTCCAACTTTCTCCCTCCTAGCACACAGTTATATAATCATTCATGTATTTGGTATGATCTCCACCAAGGAAGTGATGGAGTCATGATAGTGTTTTATGTTTTCCCCCTTTTTAAACTACAAGGAGAGCTGTTGTATGCAGTGCTCTCTCTATCAGTTGTGTGGAAACTTGGGACTAACCAATACTGGTGAGGAACCGGGAAGGTCTGTACAGGTTTTAGCTGTCCAATGCATTACAGGTACACACAAGGAACTCCAAAAATTTGTACAAATGAAGGTTTCAGAAAAGAACTTCCCACATTAAATTCAATCTGAAGACTGCTATCAAGGTTAGAAGACAATTTGAAATCACGGAAGCATGACAGCCATGATACAATGTATATGCTATTGAACAACTAAAATGCAGATATCGTCACAACTCCCCTACACTGTAAGCAAAAAAATACTGTACAACCTGTCGTTTAACCTGTATCTCTCCCAATATAAGGGGATTCTGTACCTCATAGCAGCCACACTCTGTAGGTATGTATTTTGCAACGGATTATTTAATAATAAAATTGTAAAATATTCCAAGGTACAAATGGTCTTCTGTCATTTATTTCCTGCAGTTGAAATTCTAGTGACAAGCATAATTTTTCATATTCTTACATTAGTATTCAGATTGGCACTTGAATACACTTGTACAAACATGGTTAACCATGACTAATTAAGTTTGAGTAGATGGCTTCATTCAAAGGTCAAGCATTCACAAATACATTTTGTACATACATAGTGTATCTATAAGGAGATGCAAGAAATTGCTAGTTCTTGAAAATTTTGAGGATATTTTGTGCAGATTGTGTGAATGCAACAAGATAATGGTATTGTAACAATAAACTTCAATTGTCTTTCCTCCTGTATTTGGTCATGGCACACTTAGTTGCAAAGGTTAACAAGAAGCCATAGGCGACAATTCTCCGTGAAGTATTATATATTGCAACAAAAAGAAGTAGCCATTGGCGACAATTCTCTGTGAAGTGTGATAAATCGAACAAAGAAAAATTGTTTAAACGCGCGTCGGCTCAGTCATCTTAAGACGCAACAACCAATCAGAGATGCGAGATGCCTACACGTGACGCGGGAAGGGCGCGCGATGCCCGAAATATTTTTGCGTCAATATTCAGCGCCGTGATTCAAGAGATTAATACCCGGAAACAATTTTTTCTTGTTTTGAACGCATTAACATGCATTTACGCTAATCTAGTATGATTCAGGGTTACTTTTTTTTTTAACCTGCCATGGCCAGATTATCTAAAGATGTGTGTATTGTGTGTACAATCTATAGAAAGAGAAATGTACATCAGGTCCGATCATCCGATTTTCACGTTTCGGTTTTTTGGACTCGGTTCATGAACGTATTTTGGTTTGGCCCCTGGAATGTGCGAAAAAAATGACTCCCGGGACTGTCTACAGGGAACACTCGCACATTCGCGGTGTATCAGGACAGCGCGACTGGTCGTCATTAGCGCAGTAACAGTTGCATAAACGGACGAAACCATTTCAAAGAAATGGGGATGTTTCGAAAATAAGCATTGACTCCAATATCAAAACAGCTACGGTAAAAATAAAAAGACGTGCATCATCCCGGACATAATGCAACACCACATGCGAAATTACACAGAAATGCGACGTACGGAAGAATGCGTTTTGGCTGCGAACATCTTCCAAAAAACTTGGCATCTCTTAACCATGGGCAAAAACATCTGGAACCACTTATAAAAACCACCCCGTATCTGCATGAACTTTTTTGAACCCCACTGCTATTCCAAACAACGCGTTTTTCTGGACCATTCCAATTCGCCTCGTAATTGTAGGGGTGCGTCTGCGATATTACATTGACCGCGAAAGCAGCAACGGCAAAAATACACATTCGTGCATCAACACGGGTATGCCCGCAGACGGCGTATAAAATTGCGTGCCGATTACACAAAGAGAACCCAGTGTTTTGACTGCGAACATGAAAAATCAGCCGATTACAACACTCCGTCCGGAGGTCCTGACCTCCTTCACGGAGTAACAAATCAGGCTGACATTGCATTTGATTCAGAAAAGTTTTCCACAACCGTACTATAATTACCCATAAAATTGTACAATTCTAGACACTCTAGAAGAGCAAGAACCAACCATGACACACTGGATAATCAATGATCTCTATGGCACATTGTGCAAGTTGCATTTTGGAAGTGAGGCATGAAACAGCATGAATCAGATATTAATATTGCACCTGATCAAGTTTGATTAAGAATCTTGGCTCCTGACAAAGTTATCTGGAGCCAGTGTTGGGGGGGGGGTTCCTTATTCACAAGTCAACTTTGATCCTGAGATGATGAGGTTTGACTCTAAGCTAGGCTGATGGAAGCTCATCCATTAAAGGTGAATTCTTTAGTCTTCTTGTTGCCTTTTTATCTTGTAGTGGAGCTCAGGGAGGTTTCTCAGCTTCTCAGCAGCCTGAAATACAAGTAAAAATTACCTCAGTTTGACTTTGTTGATAAAACTTGTCTTAATAAAGCTCTGTAAGTTCTCTAAATTCTGAGTGTAGTTTACAGGCCCTGGAAATGAATGTTCTCTCTAATACGTGGAAATTACAAATCCATAAAATATAACAAAATTTAAAAAAAGTAAAATCCAGTTCTGGCCTACCTGTTCCGCTGTGAGGTCGCGTTGGGCCTGAGCCAGCATCTCAAAACCCACCATGAACTTCTTTACTGTGGCTGACCTCAGCAGAGGGGGGTAGTAATGTGCATGGAGCTGCCAGTGGCTGTTCTCAGCATCAGTCAGATCCCCTGTGGGGGCACCTGTGTAAGAAATGGAAAGGGACATCAAACCAGACTAAATCTGACTCAACGAAGTTAAAGAAATGCACTTCTAACCAAATGCAGTCCAAGGATGCAGTAACCCAATCAACAGCCACTCTCCAACCATGACCTCCACGGTTGCACTAAAAGCTGTTCAAGGGCAGCTGCACTTTAAGAATTGACCAGAGTGCAGCCTTCAGTCAGGTCGTAACACCTAGACTAGGCACATTAAGTTGAGGTCACTGAGGAACAGACCTGTGGACACAGAAGGTCCTGCGAGAAATCTACTCTAAATGACTCCAAAGCCATCAGGACATGAACTTTTAAAACCTTCTAATATAGGAGAAATCATTCAAGAGTTTTTGAGTCGAGGCATAACTACTGTAACAATGAGTATTGTTAGTTTTATTAAACATTGTATTATCGCCGGTTCTATCCCCTCCCTTGGGCGGAGCCGCGGTCA